TCTGCAGGCACAGTCAGAGGCCCCCCCAAGATGGAGGATGGCTGCTGCCTTTATTACAGGGTGAGTAATGAGGCTGTGGGAGCAGAGGGGGTTTGAGTAAGGTGAGATGGTAGTTAAAAACAGGACCCAGGAGCAGGGGGGTGTCTCTGCAGTGCCCCTCTTCTGAGGAGGGTGAGGGGTGCCCTGGGGTGCCCCAGCTCTCCACCAGCCTCCAGAGCCCACCACCCTCACAGATGCTTACTTAGCATGCACCATGCTGGTGTGGCCAGCCCTGGCGTGTCGGGGCTGCATGGGCAGAGCCAGGGCCGGACACCAGAGAGGATCAAGGAAGGGAAGGCTGGGGGACACAGAGCCCTCGCATTCACAGGCAGCATCTCCAAACAGCATGCCCTGGGGGTCCTTGCGCACCCCACCTGTTGAGGGCTCATGCCCCCACTGTCTGCACCCTGCTTTGGGTGTCCCGGGTCCCAGTGTATCCCCTTGCCCTGGTGCTTGGAGAGGCTGCAGCAGGACCTGCCTGGACCCCCCCCCAGCACCCATCTCCCCCCTGCCAGAGCCAGCCACCACACACACCATCGCCATCCTGGGAACAGGGCAGAGCTGGGAGCAGGGGGCTGGGGGGGGGCAGCAGATCCCCCACCACAGGCAGGGGGCAGCTGGACCCTCCTGGACAGGTCAGCGTGGATGTGACCCCAGGGCTGCATGGGTGACATTTGTCACTGGGGTGGGAGTGGGGACAGAAGGGGACAGTTGCAGGCAGCTGCCCGGGGGGAGCAGCAGAGCCTGGAGAAGGTGAGTCAGAGGCCTCCCAGGAGAGAAGGGCTGGGCAGGCAGGAGCCCTGGCCAGGACCCAGCTCTGCCAGCCGGGCAGCCCCCTGCTCGGCACCCAGCAATGAGCAGGCAGAGGGACCGCAACCACCAGAAAGGGGTTTACCAGAGGTTTCGGGTGCTGCTCTCCCAGCCTTCCCTCAGCTGAGCTGGTATCCGAGTTTCTCAGCCTTCCCCTCGTAGGCCTATCTGTGGTACTCCAAACTTTCTTAAAAAGCTTCTTTTTTTGGTAAAAACATTCTATTTTTGGTCTCAGTCCAGAGGGACTTTTTTTCCAAGTTTGATTGAATTAATCTGTCCGTCTGTTTTCAACTTGGGCAATTGAAGGGAAAATTACGCTCTCCCCATTTGAAAAAAAAATAAAATGAAGCCATTAATGTTGCAGAGGTTTGGGATTCTTTTTTTTTTTTTTTTTTAACCCAAATATTATAAACTTCCTTTTTTTCCCTTGGGAAGATCCTGCAAGTTTTGCAATGTAAACTGTCTGGCACCAGGGATCTGGGCTACACACGCACATGTACAACTACACCCGCAGCTACTTTTGGCACCCCTACAGCCACTCTTGTGCACCCCTGGCTCTCACCAGCCCCCCAAAGCTTGGTCCTGCCTGAGCATTACCCCCAAGAGCATGGGGCCAAGAGTTTGGGAGGGAACTGGGGGGCTCGTACATACTCCCATGCACGTTCTCCCAAGTACAATCCCATGCACCCCACTACACATACACTCCCATGCACTCAAGTCCCCAAGCACAGTTGCCTGCACACCCCCGTGAACCTCCATGAACCCCCCCTGCACACCCACATTCATGCAGCCCCACACACATTCCCCACCCCCTTGCACACCCCTAAACACCCCCACCGTGCCCTCCCAAACACATCCCCATGCAAACTCCCCTGACATCCCCATCCCCCCAGTGCACACCCCTGGACACCCCACCATGCCCTCCCCCGTGATTCCCATGCACACATACACCCTCAGACACCCCCATGCCCTGCCCCAT